ACCTTATCTATGCAAAAATGGGTGTATTTCATTTTTGAAAACTTAAAATAATTTATATCTGAACATGTAAATACATAGAAATTGGGTGGTACGTACGTAATTGCTCCAACAGGAAAACCAAATTATAAAATTAGTATGAATGAATCATGAATACTTAGGGTTGTCAACACACTTTCTCTCAGCTGCGCTCCATTCTTTTATATCTAAAATAAAGAATAGATTCAAATTATAATTTAGTTGCAAACATCAGAAATTATCTCACACTTGTATTCAATTCCATACTCAACGGTAAACTCTGATTTAATTGATTCAATTTCATTTTATATTGATAAATATGTTTTGGTGTAAACTCAAATTCAAATTCACAAATGTAAAACATTTTGCATTTAATCCATCATTTAAATGATGTTCATAAACATAAATTTTTTCAGAAGGATAAATCGTCATTAAAGATGATAAATTAAAGTTAAAACAAATCGATTGCTGGAAAATTTTTGAGAAGGTTCAATGGCACTTGAACAAGGACACGAAAAATTGTCTGCAAATAGAATGCCCCGTTACCGTGAATCCAAATCAAAACAGAGAATCCTAGCACTAAAAATAGTTTGCGAGACATGAGACGTGGTCGATTTATCCTTGTGTTGATGAGATATGAGACGTGGATATATCTAAGCACAAAGATTATTATCCTTGTCTTGATCCCACCACACATTTTTCTTCTAAAGTATTTGCTCACTCTTGGAACAACATTCTTGTAGATCCTACCACACTTTTTTTTTTTTTGCATTTTTTCCATCTTTATGAGATGAAGTAAATGAGTTTTTCCTATATAAGATATAAGAAGAGAGAAAATGTTCAATAACCAGAATATATGAAATGGATTACACATTATACTAAATAAATTACAAATGCCTAAAACTGGCTTCTACTAACGTAGTTGTAATTTCTTCCCCTAACTCCATCATTTCTCTTGCTCCTTCCCGTTCTCTAGTATAGATAGTAGAAGGATCAGTCCCAGATCGTTCCACAGAATGCCCTATGTGGTACTCAAATGCCTCTGGAGGGACATGTTCCTCATCGTTGTCAGCCATATGAAAGCCGATGTTGGTGCGGGAGGGATGTCGCCAAATATAATTGTATGGACTTGTTTAGGAAACGACTAAGGTGGCATATCACAAAGTATCACCCATTTTTTCTTTCAAATGCCGAAAGTTCTCTCAATGACACCATGTATGGAGGAATCTCTTTCGTTAGAAACCTCTTTTCTTCCACGTCTCACATTGCTGGCTCGATCAAAATCAGATGAATGATATCTCGTATCAAGGAAGGGTTTGAGATACCCTCGCTGCAATGGATAACCGACATCCACTAAATAATATTTGTCTGGAATGCATTGTAGGTTCTGTATGATGTCTAAAGTGATTAATCAAAGGATTCAGGGCTATGACATACCGTGTGGAGGGTGTGAGAAGTTGTAGTGAGCATTCTGCATAGCACTCTTCAAAATTCTGCTGTCATGCACACTACCCTCCCAACCGAGCATGATGAATGTAAAACACTTGTTAAAATCACACACAACCATGACATTTTGTGTAGGAGCCCCTACAACGCCCAATAAATGCATTCTTTTCATTATTTGTAACTCTCGCATCAAAGTGGGTTCTATCTATTGCTCCAATGCAATTCTACACAGATACATTTGTGTTATTAATGTCCAATATTCATATTTAAAATTGAATACTATAAATTGCAAATGTTACCTTAAAGAAGGGCATGTAACGTGCATCATGT